GAAAAGAGATTATTTTACTTTCGGTTCATTAGTTTATTTTTATGAGAAAAAATGGACAATAATAATAATAGTGTTGTGCAGGATGAAGAGCTCGAATCAATCTTCGAATATGTGGTTTAAGATCACTCCATAGCACGGCAGTGGAACCATTCTCTGCAAGCAACGTAGTGATGCGGACCAAATCGTCAAAAATTGAAACAAAATCATTGGCTACAAGCTCAGGGTGACCCTCAGTAAATAAGTATAACTTTTGGAGACCAAGCAATAAGAACCAGTTAAGTGTTTCGTTGTCGGGAGTCATGTCCAAAGCCATATCTAAGGTTACATTATTGTTTTGCGATGAGAAAATTCCATGCACAGCATTCACTATGTGGCAATAATCATTGGTGCGAGGAATACAACCGTTTGTCGATGGATGAAGAAAAAGAGCTTGATAAAGCGACATGACAGGATCCATCATTTCCACCGCCGTCAAGGCTGAAACAGACAATGTTAGAAGAAAAACCATGGACATTTTTTGTTTTGTTGGAAGAATAATATATGAATCGTGACATTTATTTAAGAATTCGAAGAAGCAATTGTCAATTTTTCTCAAGGTCCTCTTCGAGACAGTCTCTGATAAGAAAATTGATAGACCACTTCTGACTGATGGAAGTATGAGATTAGTCAAAGTAAACAAGAGCGATAAGTCAACGAGCAAAAATCGATTTGTGTAATGATGCGCAGATGCAATAGGGTGGTAGTTTGTGACTGTGTTTTGATGTACATCTTCATCGAGTCCTTATGTACCCTGACCATTCACCTATTATTCTTCAAGCAAGTCACAAAAGATGCGTATGGTTGTTCTTCCAGTATTGTTTGGGTGTGGACGCAGATGAGGCGTGTGGGTGTGTTTTTGAGGTATAGGTATGACTGTAGCTGTGGATGCGGATATAGGAATTCCCTTTAATAGAACAACCCTCGCACCGACCCCCACCCCACACTCACGCCCCCACCCCACCCACACCCAACACCCACCCCACTCACACCCATACCCTCACTATCTTCATAGTGGAGTCCCATTGAATCCCATGGTCACATCAAGCTAAGATCTTAGCAAGAAAGTAATATGTACCGACAGAATCTCAAGCTTCTAAGCCTCGGTATGATATCATGAGAACTCCAGATATCTGATTCATGACTATTGTTAGAACTTCCACGGTAACATGTCACGAAGTTTTTGAATGGCTTTCAAGAATAACCATTTTGAATCCGTACACAGGGTGTGAGTGTGACTCTGACAGTTGCTGCGCATCTTCTCTTCAATGACACCGACATCCCGCACCCACGAATTTTAAATTTGATATTCGTTTCTATGGAAAGAAAATTCAATTAATAAGCTATTTGTTACAATATAGTAACAAGATTGACATATACTAAGTTTTGATTAGATGTATGCAAGGTCTTCTTGAAATTTTCATAGTAAAGGTTTGTAACACGTTTATCAATTAAGACTACGTAGTCCAGACTCAATACCACTACAGAATACTTCACGTCGTCTTATACAGCGTCGTGGACATACTTCCCTGTTTTTTTTATTCAAGTACCATCCCGACTAGAATGACAACCAGTGCTTTTGTTCGTCCTTTGCTCACTTGAATTTAAGTATTCAATGTTACTACCATTCTGTAAGAAAATAACTTATTAATTTGATTTTGATCTGTAAGAATAATGTTTTGGTTTGTGGTAGGAACTTATTTAAAGTATATTTTTCATACAGATAACAGACAAAAATGCTACTGCTAGGTTAAATTTTTGGCCTCACTAAAGAAACTTTTGCCTATTATCACGTGAGAAAAATGCACATGCAACGTTCCATAGATAATTTTCAGCTGACGTCGAAGACCATAATAATAGTAAGAAGCAGTGAAAACAAACTATATGAATGCATATAGAAGAAGTCTTTTGAAAACTAATAATTGTTAATCTAAATGCTCAAAAACGTCAGAATACTTTTCAAAAAAGCCAAGGCTTCTGCGTGGGATTGTAAAATTGTGTAGCCATTGACTTTTTTACTGATCAAATTGTTTTGATTTCTTTTATTCTCTTAGATAACAACTGAATCTTATCTATGAAACGCTACACAATTTTTTTCTTACTGGATAACAAATGAAATTGTTTTCATGATACGAACAATGATACTTGATAGTAGTTCCCGTTTGTATTATCTGTATGAAAAAAAAATTTTCAATAAACTTCTACTCCTAATCAAAACATCAGTCCATTTGATTGAACCGACTCAAATATATTTCATTCTTTTTTATCTTAGTACTATATATTGTTCATCTTATATATATCAAATATAAAACTCAAACTTTTTCATTTGATATGCGTGGTCACAGATCAATATCAAAGTAATAGCTCATTTAGTTACAAGATGATAATAAAAATGACATAACCAAAAATTCATCTAAATTATATTCTCAGTAACCGAAATCTATAGAATATGATTATTTTCTCTCTAGAGAAACACCCAGTTCAAAACCTTAACGTCTATTAATATCGACAAATAGAGATGATTTCCCTAATAACGACTGGAAAATTTTGTCTTATGTTGTTTCGTTTGGTACTCGACAATTGTGCGTCCAATTAAAAACATTTTTATATTTGGAGAATCCTTCGATTCTTCTCTTTCGAATGATATATAGGTTTCATTTTACTTACGTATTATCATGAAGAAATTAGCGGTCTAAGATGAAGGGGTCCAACTTTCGTTATTAGGTATCGATTTCCTAATAACGACGCCCAGCAAAATTATTGATCCTAATAACGATGCTCTAGCAAAATTTCAGCGAAAAAGTACTTTTAAAGAAAAAAAACATTTTTTTCACGTTTTCTGTCAGAAATCGAGGAATGGTCTCTTACAATGGAAGTGTGTGACCTGTTGAGCGAAGGGTGTGGGTGTGGTACTTTCATTTCTTTACATCTATACTCTTACCTCACACCCCACACCCACACCCTCTCAGTTTTTATTCATATATCTTATCAATGTAATCTTTAGCTAGTTGCAGAGTAATATTACATAGAAAGCAATTATATGTACTTGATCAAAAAATAGTATTTAGCAAGATCGAAAAAAGTTTAATTAATGCTTACATGGTTGTTGGGTAGCAGTTGTACTTGTAATTGTAGTTGCTGTTGCAGTTGTAATTGTACTTATAGTTGTACTATTCATTGCTATTCATTATCATAGAAAATTTTGTTTATACAAAGGAGATATTTTAGGTCTGACATAAAATTTAATATAGAACTTGATGCATTTAAATTTTAGATGAAGCCTAAACAGTGTTTCAAAGTAGAGCGATGATCTCAAATTATTTGAAAAGCGACTTTTTTCTTGCGAATATGATCTTTGGTGGAAAACTGCTGTGTTCATTAGAGAACGAAAAGCCAGTAAAATTTTCGACAATTCAATTCGATGTGATTCGACTGAATCAAATCACAGAGAATCGAATTGAATTGAACCAAATCCAATGAGACCATCCTGCTCAAATTTATCACTTCTATTGTATTTTGAATGCGACTGAAGATTAAAATGCACTAGTTACCGTTAGAGTACCATATAGTCATTTCAAGTATGAAGTTTGTAATTTCAATCTCTCACATAAATTGCTCATCTGCCAGTGTGGTCATCTCAAGTCATTCGAATATTCTGCTTTTATATCAGCAGTGTATGTGAAATGAATTTAAAACGATATTTGAAAGAACAGAATAATAGTGTAAAGATAAATTGTTATGAACACTCTGTCTCTCATCCTTCTCGCCATCAGACAGTCTTAATTTTTACATTCTTCTCTCAAAAAAATTCTCAAAACTTCGACACATTGAGGCATAATCTCCAAAAGAAGTACTCGTTTCAACGATGGTTCAGCAAGATACATTCTGTGCTTATTAATATCTTACTAAGAGAGCTTAGTCATTGGTGCTATAAGCTGTGAAAAAATAATTCACATACACGATTGAATTACTGATCACTAGTTATCTGTTGCAAGCTTCGTCATTAGAAACTTGACACAGCGAGTTATAAATGTGTTCTCTTTCGAGCTAGATGCTAATCGTAGTTGTTTTGAAAAAGGCTACGGAGTGAACTCAATATTCACAAGAATCACTTCAGTATACAACGGAAACTGTCACTAAAGATAGATTTGACATACTAGAATCGATGTGCGCTTATGAAGATGCTAACACATGACACGTTATACAGAATCAAATCGTATAGGCTGATCAATTGCTCAATTTGTTTCGGTCTCTGATGTACATTCAAAAGTACACTGTATTTTCATGTGTTGCTAGATATAACTGCAGCGAACTCTGTTTTTCAAAGTAATGGATATGGTCCATAGAAGAGGTGAAATCTATTCTCCAATGATTACAATTCGTTTTGTCTCTGCCATGCTTTATCTACTTTTCAAAGACTTTTCGGTTCTTCCTCATTGCTCTTATACCCGCAAGAGTTACATATGTGAGGGGTATGAACGGTAAAGAAATAACTTTAAGAACGGTTCGACTTTCGCTTGAATCTACAGATCACTATTTATTCTCTTACTTAGTATCGGTGGACAGAGTTGCCGATTGAAACTCGGTACTGGATAACAAACAGGAAGATTATGGCATCGAGGATGATGAACACATCTATGGTTAGGTTCACGACAAAGATTGTTTGGGCGTTCGCATGCAGGTAGCTCAGAACAATCGACGAATTCATCGCCACAAATGCCAATGTCAATAGCACCTGCTATATAGAAACAGGCACATGCACTATTTGGCGAACATCGATCATATTGAGATGTTCCATGGCAGAATTGAGATTTCACTCGAACTAGCGACATACTAAATGAATAACAGGACATGTAAAACGAAACAAGAATCAAAATTGTAAGGCTCAAAAAGGAAGATTGTTCAAAAGTAGATGAATAAGAAAAAATAGGTTTTAGAATTACCTGAATAGAACGAATACGAAACAGCAAAGCACTGTTGAAACCATTGCTTGCGTTGAAGTGAGACAGCACAACGACAATATCACTCTTTATATCTAATGAATATGTAATGTTTTTCGCATTCATCAAGAGTGAAGAAGCGCATGGCGTAATCTTTCGATAAATGGAAATTCAATATTGCTCCGCTGCTTTCTTAAGCGCTTAGCTTTTCTTCAAAAAAGTAATCTTTATAGAAGAAAAAGCGTCATAAAACCGATATGAGATTGCTTCTGCGATATAAGCATTTAATAGGCTCGTGTCATCATTCGAAATATGAATATTGTTAATTCCAATCATCGACCCACTATGTAATGACGACTTAGAACAATTTCAAGAACAAATTTTTTCCTAATATTTCTATTTTTATTATAGGCAGCTTACAGAAGTTCGCATCTGCATCAAACCAAAGTCACAATCTATAGCCAGTCGCATGCATTTGTGCTTTGGACTGTGTCTTCATTGAATTTGAGGGTGTGGCTGAGAGCGTGTGCGTTTGGATGTGGGTGTCTGAGTTAGTTGTCTTCTTCAACACTCACAACCAGATCCACACCCACACACCCGCACCCACGCACCCACACCCACACCCGCACACCCACACACCCACACGCACACACCCACACCCACACCCACACCCACATCCACACCCACACCCCCACCCCCCACCCACCCCCACACCCACCCCCCCACCCCCACCCACCCCCCCCCCCACCCCCCCCCCCACCGCCA